TAATTCCCTGAGTAGTGCATGAGCTCTCACAGGACCAGATTACATTAGATACTAAGAGAATGAGTTGTTATAATGTGAGGCTGTTCCCATGTTTTGTCTTTTGCATTACGTACTTGCCCTTCCACTTTCTGCCATGAATTAACACAGCATGAGTTCCTCACTAGGAACCTAACAGGTGCCAAGGCCGTGCTGTTGGCCTTCCTAGCCTCCAGAGCCAAGAGCCAAGATGAACATCTTTCCTTATGAAGTGCTTGGTCTCAGGTATTTTGTTATAGCAATAGAAAACAGACTAAGATAGAAGCCTTTAAAGATTTTGAAAATTGCATCCTTATTGAGTACTGAGTATATATCAGGTAATATCGACTATGCTTTCTGTAAATTTTCACTTATACACAACATGGACTGATAATAAAAATTGCCAAGTGCTATTCTAATTTTACATAAGAGGAAATGATTGCTTAGTGATGATCAGAGATGTGTTCAGAGCATCACAGCTAGTAATTTGTGGTTCTGGCTTCAAACTCACATCTGTGGTCCTAAAATATAGACTCTCTCCATTCTATTACAGTGATTCATGACACATTGTTTCTAGATGCATATGTGTCTGTGTGCACATGCGTGTGTGTATTTGGTGCTTTTGAGACAGTGTCTCACTATGCAATTCAGCTGGCCTTGTACTCACTATGTAGCCCAGGTTGGCCTTGAACTAATGGTGATCGTTCTGCCTCCGGCCTCCTCGGTGCTAAGATTACAGGTCTGTAACACCACACACCTGGCTTGTCCCCAGATTACAGAAACTATCCAGGGTTTATTTTAGCTTCACTGCACAAAGCTAGCTGAACCATGGAGAAATTTTCAAACATGGTCTCCAGCTTTGTCTGGGGTCCAGATTTAAGAACCACCTTGTTGCAAGCAAAGTGAAAGGCTATATTTCGGTAACTGATCTACATGCAAATTAAATTGGTGTCCTGAAACAGAATGCCTCCTGTCAGTATACCACCTCCACAGAAATACAAGCTTCTCCTTTTCAGGCAGCACTAGTTTTCTCTGTGGTAGCCTTTATGGGTTCTAAACATATCACAGATTCTCTCATTGCTGGTGTCTATCTAGATGGAGGCATAAACTATGTACTCAAATAACACAGAGAAGTGCAATCTCATTTTTCTGATCTATGTAAATTTAATTTTCCTGACCTATTCTTGCAGCTTCCCACACCTTTTGGTCTTTTGCAGTGTGTTCCTTCTTGTCTTTCTCTTGCCCACTGATGACTCTACTAGCCCTGAACTTGAATAATGTTGGGGATTTCTCATAGTACCATGGACTCATTCCATCATCCAAGCCAAAACAGTTTTCTTCTAAAATATACTGGCACTACATTTGAAGACTTTCAGTTTGCCTGGATTATTCCTTTCTTTTTTAAGACTATGTCCTTTTCATTTTTTACTTCTTTCCTAGCTGATGTGACATGTTGACAGATGAACACATGCTTGGCCACATCATGTTCCCCTTAACCATTACTCATATCACAATGCTTTCAGGAGCCCGTGATCTCAACAACCATTATTGTATAGCTCCCTCCACCATCTTGGCTTTCTGTCTTATGTAGATTGTCTGTCAAACTACTCTCTTATCTGCCTGAGCATCTGTACTCCTGCCTCTGCCAAACAGAAGTCTCCTCATCACTGGGTGTAATTTGGATAGAGAAATACGTGCCTCATTAGTAACATCATCAAGAATTTCCCAAGTAGCCCTATTAAAAATCCATAAACTATTCTTTACAAATTCATAACCTTGGGGTTGCCCAGATCCTGTGCTGGAAAAATCCCTAACGTTGAATCTGATCACTGGCCCACCATTTTGGCTTCCAGCTGGGCAGCATTCTATATATACTGTCAGGTGAGACAACTTCTTCCAACCACTCCTTAACTAGATTAGCTTATTCCAGTCAAAGGCTTTAGTAAGGATAAATATCTTAATGTTCTTTATCTCTCTCTTTTGCCATTCTTTCTTTCTCCCTCCTTTTCTTACCTTTAGATGTAATCTGCATAATCCACAAAACACCCAACCCATTCTCTACTGCTGCTCCATGTGTCTCTTTTGATGTATAAAATTTACATGATAACTCACTGAAAACTCCTTTAGGGAAGCAATCTTTCCCTAAAATCTTCATGTCCCCAGCAATCCCCAACAAAACGAGCAATAGATACTCAAAAACTATTCTTTAATTTTGTTTTAATTTGCTCTGAACTATTTATAGTATCATTAGGTATGATTGTAACTTAAAGGGCAGAGTCTACGAAATCCAATGTTCTTTCTTCACACAATCCAATATTTCTTAAAGAAAAGAAAATTAAAGTTTGTCTGAAAATTTTGACTGAGGGAAAATGACATTAAACTTCATCACTATCCCAGTACTGGCATCAAGATAATACTAATTTTGGGAACTTTCAATTGCTTGAGTTCTAGTTACTCTTGCTTTTCCATTTAAAAATATGGTTCATGCAGAACAGATGCAATATTTACTCACAAATTTCCTAATTGGATTCCCAAGCAATAGTCACCATAGTGGAAAAATAACATAGCTAAACCTTAGAAGACAAACATCATATCTAACTGAAACTATATAAACAACAAAGAAGGCATAAACTGCATATTTTATGTGCCTGCAAATGAATACAGTGAATATTAAGTAAAATAATGACAACTGACTTTAAAGAACTTTATAATGATTTCTGTTGTCATTTTAATAATCTAACCTATTCACTAAATGGTTCAGAATTCAACTATATAACTTCAAGACCATAATATCAACTTAAATATCTAGATTTTGTTTTAGATTTACTTTTTAAAAATGTTTGATTTACTATCTTTAGTAACCATTATTTGTACTAGCTACTCTATTCTTTAATAGGAGTCACTATACATTGAGCACATCCAATCTGAAAATCTGAAATTTTGTAAACAATGTGATATCACAAATGGAAAATTCAATACCATGAAACTTCGTTTAATACACAAAATTATTAAACACTATATAAAATTATCTTCAGGCTATATGTATAAAAGCTATAGGAAACATAAATAAATTTCAAGTTTAGGCTTACATGCCACTCCCCAAATATTTCATTATGTATGTGAAAATATTCCAAAATCCAAAAAATAAATGCTTATCCCAAGCATTTCAGATAAAAAATACCCAAATTGAATCATTGCAGTTTCCATACTTTTTATATGTGAGATATATATCCCTACCTACCTAATGAAAAGTAAAATTATATATACAGTTTAAAAATCGTTTGTTTCCATAACAAAAAACCTTCTCCTTTCCTCTATTATATGTTGTCCCTTAACTGAGGATAATAATTATAATGTGAGAATTATTTTTACAGTTTTCCTATTCTTAGAAGTTTTGATACTTAGTATCTCCAGGGTCCTTTTAAAATAAGTATTTTACAGGCTTATTTTCTGGATATACAATTTACATCAAGCATTCAGTTTGTTAATAATTTGTTCTGATTTTTTCTGCACAAATGGACCTTGCAATCGGCATTTGAGGCACATAACTAGCCACTCCCAAGGCATATTCAATCCCAACATTATACCTTGAGAATATTCACTTCTTATGGATACATGACTGCACCATATATGCCATCATATTAATTAACATTCATAAGTTTATTCAACTAATAATAATTAAGAGTAGCATTGGCCTGCTACTCTAATAGATAACTATGCAAACAAACATGCAAAAAGACAAGAAACAGGCAGCAATCTGTTAAGTGCCACAAAAGTGAAAAACTCAGGGACTAAAAAGGAATGGCAATTAGCAAACTTTCTAGAGAGGGAGAATGAGGATAGTGCATAAAGGAACATTTCTAGAGGAAAGCTGAAGTCTGGTGAATGTGCAGAAGTGGAAAGAGGAGTCAATAGTAGTTAATACTGCCAATGCCTCCTCTGGGCTAGGAACTGTTTTACACATAGTACAGTAACTCATACAAATCTTCAAAACAACCCTGTGAGGTAAGTACAGTACTACACTATTAAGAACTATAGGGCCTGGGATTTAGCTCAGTGGTTTCACCGCCTGTTGCACAAGCGCAAGGACCTGAGTTCGATCCCTAATGCCCAACAAAAAAAAAAACTATAAACAAGGACACCAGAGCACAGAAGTTAAATAACTTGCTTGAGATCACATGACTGGTAAACTCAGAGTCAGGTGCCAAGCCCAAGCTTCTCACCCTTAGTACTATCTTTTCCAGCAGAGATAACATAGGCCCAGAGTCAACAGTAAGAAGAATCGACCTTGGGCTGGCATGTATGATTTCACTCACTCCTCATATAAGCTACTACTTCACATCCACTAGGATGGTTGCAATTTTTAAAAATAAAAAGTTTGGGAGAGGATATGAAGAAATTGGAACCCTCATATATTGTTGGTAACCATATTAAATGCTGCCACTATGGCAGAAAGCAGTTTGGCAGTTCCTCAATAAATTAAACATGGAATTACTATATGACCCAGCAATTCCACACTTGGGTATATACCCAAAAGAACTGAAAATGGATATTCAAATTAAACTTGCACAAAATATTTATAGCAGCACTCTTCACAATAGTGAAATGGTAGAAACAACCCAAATGTCCTTCAACTGAAGAATGGATAAGCAAAATTTGATATATTGATGCAACTGAATATTATTGTCTTTAAAAAGGAATGAAATGCTAATACATGTACCATGAATGAATTTTGAAAACATTTTTCTAAGTGAAAGAAGCCAGATATTGAAAGTCACATATTGTATGATGCCATGTGCTGCATGCATGGATCTTGAATATACACTAAAGGCCCAGGTATTCAAGCCTTGGTCCCCAGCCTGTGGGTGGTTGGGAGACAGTGGAACTTTTAGGAGGTAGAGCCTAGTGAAAAGAAGGTAGATCTTTGGGGGCCCTTGAAAGAGCTATTGGGACTCTGATTCCTGCTTCTCTTCTCTACTTCCCAGATGGTATGAGGGGAGCCACTTCCTCCATCAGACATTCCCACCATGATAAGCTGCCTTGCCACAGGCCCAAAAGCAATGAGGCCAACCAACTATAGTCTGAAACATTTAAAACTGATGAGCCAGAATAAACTTTCTTCTCTTTAAGTTGATTATCTCAGGTATTTTATTATAGTAACAGAAATTTGACTAATGCATCATAATACAAAATATTGAGAGCTGTCAAATTTATAAAGTCAGAAAGGAAATCACTGGGGTAGGAAAATACCCATTCACCGCGGGTAGGGAAACTGAAAAGTAACTTCTTAATGGGTGCAGGGTTTCCTTAATGAGAACAGTGATACAAATTCTCTGGAACTAGATGGTGACGATGAGTGCACAACATTGTGAACATACTGTCACTAATGGTATACTTTATGTTATGTGTATTTTACCACAATTTTTAAGAGCTAAAAAATGGACAAGAGAAGAAAAAAAGTTGAGTAATTTTTTTCAGGGTTACACATCACAGCTAGGAAAAGGTGGACTCAAACTCATGTAGGGAAGACATTTCAAGTACTCCAAGTTGTTTGATATGACCGCACCAAAACGTATGTGTGGGGGGGGTGAATGCCAAAAGTTGAGGCAAGAGGAGAAGCCAGTCTCCATTATGAATATATTTTGTGAGGTGGATAGAAACATCCCTAAATGCACTGACTCAGGATTCAGGGGCACTAAGAAAGAGAGAGGGTTCCTGACCCTGCGATATGGCAGGGCCTTCCCCCACAATGTGCTCCTCCATAGATGGAGCACTACTGTGTCCTGTAGGTTTCAGATAGAGAGTGACAGCTGAAACAAAATGAAGACCAAAGTTCACCAATTTCCACTCCCACCCCCAACCAGTCAATGAAAATAGGAATAATAGGAATATTCATTTCTATATCTCAAACACCTCATCTATAAAATACACTTAATAACAATAGTTCCTAATTCATAAATTTTTCATAAGGATCAAATGTATGAAAAGTCCTTGAATTAGGACCTGGCACAAAGTCAATGTCATATAAATGTTTGCTGTTAATGTTTTGTTATTATTATCTTAATGGTTTCCATGCATAAAATATCCCTCAGACCTTTTCATTTTCATCATATGTGATAAAACTGGGTGCTGTCTTTCTGGAATGTTTGCCCAAGCACACTACATTTTATTAATAGGAAAAATCATCAAAACCTGAGTTCATGGAAAATAGCATTATCTAACGTTTCATCTACATTGTACAACTGTACAATAAATTGCCTTCCTGGTTGCTTTGATAACAGAGAAGAAAATGTTCTTCTCAGACTAGTCTACACTTATCAACATATAATTTAGTAGCACTAATTAGGAGAGTGCTAAACATTTGTAATACAGTAAAACAAAATAACAAACTATACCAAATAGTTCAAGTAGTAGAATATGGTTTTAAAGACTTTTGAAGGGAAAAGTTTTTATTGTTACTTATTGCATAAGCATTGTGCTTTTTCACACAATTTCATAACAAAGAGGACAAAGGAAAGGTAAAGGTAGATATTTTAGATTCTGCAACTGTCCATTATGCTTTAGAACTTTCTCCACTTAGATTCACTAATCAGATCTCACACATCCTCATTATGTAAAATGTGTATCAGTAAAATGTGTATCAGTAAAATGTGAAAACGAGCCCTCTTTCACTGTAACTAGGCCTGAAGAAAGAAGAATTTTAAATCTTGGTGTTTCAGGCTGTTTATTAGTGACAACAGTGTGATAAACAGTTCATTAATCCTATTTATCAGGCTGTGAAATAAGCCAAAAGTGCCATCAGTGAGTAATAATTTAAAGGAGGTTTAAAAAAAGAAGACGTTTTATGCTTCTTTAATCTAAACCAGGGGCTAGACTTTTTCAGTAGAGGGTCAGATATTATATATCTTATGTGTTGATAATGTAAAGCCTTTATCACAACTATGTATTCACTTCCTCTTTTGTACTGAGAAAGTAGCCACAAACACCATGTAAAGGCAAATTTAATTATACATGCTACAACATGGATGAATTTAAAATATCATGCTAAGTTAAATAAGCTAGACACAAAAGGATAAATGTATGATTCCATTTATATGCAGCATCTAGAATTGGAAGATTCTTGTCGATAGAAAGTAGAATGATATCTGGCAGAGGTAGGGGTGGTGAGTGGGGAATTACTGTCTAATGGGTACAGAGTTTCAGTTTGGGAAGATGAGAAAGCTCTGGAAATAATGCTGGATGCACAGCACTGTGAATGTCCATTACATTAATGTCACTGAACTATACACTTAAAATGGTTTAAATGGCAAATTTTATGTGATGTATATTTAACTACAATTTTTTAAAAACTTATTTATAAAAACAGGCACTTCAGCCAGGTGCAGTGGCCCATGCTTGTAATTCCAACTACTGTACTTGAGAAGCCAAGGCAGGCAGATCACAAATTTGAGCCCAGACTGAGCAATTTAGCAATTTAGCAATTTAGTGAGATCTGTCTCAAAGTAAAAAAAAAAAAAAAAGGTGGTAGCTGGAGAAGTACTTCAGCGTGAAAGTGAAGAGTTTAATGCCCAGTACCACACACAAATAAAAAATGCAGACATCAGACAACTTTACACAATTTTATTTGATACCAATAGATTGTTTATATTTTTAATTCCGTTTCTACTTTTTTTTCTTTATATCCTTGATCCTTCTACCAATAAAACACTAATTGACTGAAAGTAACCTTATTGGACTTTGTAAGGACAAATACTGTTTTCAAATAAAAAAAGAATATATTTGCATTGATAGCTATATTTTCTTTAAATAATTTTAGGCCATCTATATTACAAATTTATGTTTAAATATTTCTTGAGACAAAATGCAGAAGCAGCACTTTAATAGTCAAGCCAGAAACCTATTGTAGTCTCCATGTTGAGAAGATCCTCAGTTTTAAGGGGGAAGTCAGAGAGAGAGCAGTGATGTCTGAAAATTTATAGTGACCAAAATGATTAGGTTTCAACATTCATTTCTAAACACATGAAGTATTTACAAGATCGCTTGAAAAATTACTCTAGTTTCCAGGATGTTACCTGTTGACCTTTGAAAGCAGAAGCAAGTGAATTTTGCCATCAAGATTCTTTCATTTTGAAGTTTAATATAGTGTCATTGGTTCTCCAATATCCATGGTGCCAATTTTCCACCGATGTCTTATATCTTGGGTTTCTTTTCCCCAGTTAGAAAAGTATAGTGATAAAATAGGCAAGGTAACTTTGAGCACAAAGGCCCATGTAATTACATAGCCTTCCCAGCATAATCCACAATGTTCTGACACTGGATATCAGTACAATGGTAAGAGAAAAACCCTGTCGGGGAAGGTGGGCAGTGAGCACAGCCACTGGAGAAGCACAGGAGCATTTCTAAACAGAGGTGGTAGCTGTAAATACCTGGACATCGGAATGTTTCTGTGGAGAATAAGCTGACTTCTGATCATTTGCAGGATTCTTTTATGAGGCTCATTTTTCCTTCAAAAAGACATCCTGACTCATACAAAAAGTGAAATGTTTTTCTTCTGAGAAGCATTCATGGAAAGAGCTGTTCCTGACCATAATGGGATATGGGTCACTGTTTAGGATCAAGTAATTGATTTTCTGAAACTGAAATACAATTGTCCAATTTGACAAAATTTGACTAGCTGCACTCATTTGACCCACACAAATACAGGCTCCAACTTTTCTATTGAAAATTAAAAGGCCAGCATTTGTATTCTTCCTTTCTGACTATTACTCTCTAGGATTCTAAATGCCAGCTGAAATTTTCACAAAGTACCTGTTTTTGTCATTATAAAGTATTTGTCTCGGGCCAGGGATTTAGCTCAGTGGTTCTGCTGCCTGCCTCACAAGCACAAGGTCCCAAGTTCAATCTCCGGTACCAAAAAAAAAAAAATTATTTGTCTCTGATAGACATGAAAGAAATTAGAACAAATACTTCATATAAATTTTTTTGTTGTTACTCTGCTTAAGTATTTTTCCCTTTGGTTTGTTTCTTGATTTTGAATTTCCTATGAGGATTTGGGCTGGATACTCTTGCTACATCTGTCAGAGAATACTGCAACTCTGCCGCCAATCACTCTGATCAGGTCCAGCTAGTTATATGTGTAATTGAGAGAACAAAGAATTTTTCAAGACAGATGCAGTGGCACATACCTATAATCCCAGATACTTGGAGGGCTGAAGTAGGAGGATCACAAGTTCCAGGTCAGCCCAGGCAACTTAGCTAGACATTGTTTCAAAATAAAAAATGGAAAGGGGTTGGGGGTGTAGCTCAAAGGTAGAGCATTAAGTCTTAGGTTCAATCTCCAACAACATTTTTTTTTTTTAAGAGAGGATTCTTTCATATCCCTTAGCTTCAGAGGCACCTCAGATAACAGTCTCTATTAAAACCATTCTCTAGGATTCTTAATTTTTATTAAAAAACATCACAGGGTGAGAATCCCTTATTCAAAATGCTTGGAACCAAAAACATTTAGAACATTTATAGATGCTGGAATATTTTCATATACATAATAAATTATCTTGCAAATGGGACCCAAATCTAAACATGAAATCTTTTTAGTTTCATATATGTCTTATACATGTACCCTGAAGGTAATTTCATATAGTATTTTTATTGCACCTGTGTTTTAACTGCAACTTGCCCCATGAGGTCAGATGTGGAATTTTCCAGTTAAAATGTCACACTGGCTTTCGAAAGTGTCAAATTTTTAAATCATTTACAACTTCAGGCTAGGGATGTTCAACCTGTCCTATAACTATTGTGATGCCTTAGATATAGGTACTTCATTTCCTCAATAAGCAAATCTAGGGATGTTCAATCAGTCCCATAACTGTTATGATGCCATAGATATAGGCTTTTCATTTCCCCAATAAGTAAATTAGGTAGTAATCATCATCTACATTCCATAGTTATGCAAAGTGGGGCTACATGCTAATTTGTCCAAGGTCCTCCTTAATGGAAAACACTGAAATCAAGATTTGCCTTTGCATAACAGTCAGTTTATGTGGATTGTGTTTTAAATCATACTGAATATTTATGTTTCTTATAGACATGCTTGAAATGTTCAGAGATGA